TTTCACCATCTGTTGACCTCATGTCATTTTGCCTTCACTCACCACTGCTGCTCTTTCTTTTTTTTCTTTTTTTTCTGCCTCTCTACTCTGCTCTGCTTTTTTATTTCTTTTTTTTTTTTTTGCTCCAACCACTGCTCAGTTTCTTTCTTCTCCTGAAATAGCAATTCAGTGAGAGAGGGTGAGAGACAGAGAGAGAGAGAGAGAGAGAGAGAAATCATGGGAGAAAAAATAAACAGTGTGTGTGTTTATGTGTGTGACTGGTTTTTTCGACTGTGCATTTTGCTGATTCTCACAGTCACTTCGTCAGTCAGTCAGTCGGCACTTTCCAGAGACACCCCCCCCAACCCCCTGCCCCCCCCACTCTCTCAGACATGCAGTCTGTGGAGTAAAACTTTTTTAAAAAGTCCACTACAAAAATCCAGCGTTCATCTTTTTTTCGCTCAGCACGTCGTGATCATTTCTCTCTTCTACCTCAGAGCAGCGTGGTTGGCTGATGTGCGATTGCCTTTTCTGTACTTTCCACCACACGCAGGCATGGCCTAAATTTAAGCAAAGCCAGATGGCCACGCTAGAATGTGTGTGTGTGTGTGTGTGTGTGTTTAGAACTAGTGTTCCTGAGAACGAAGGTATCGAGTTTGGAGCCCCTAGTTCTCCTTCTCCTCCCCCCAAGAAAATATAAATCCCATAACATTCTTTACTTCTGACTCATTGTCTCCGCTCTTCAAATGTTTGCCTGCTTTTCTACGTTTCTCCTCCTCCTCCTCCTCCTCCTCCTCCTCCTGCTCCTGCGTGCGTCTGTCTTTGCCCTTATTTCCATCCGAGTCTATTCTTTTTTCTCTTCTTTTTCCTCGATCCCTCCCTCTCTCATTTCCCTCCCCTCTCCTCTCCTCTTCTCCTGCAGACAGATTGATTCCAGATGTTCCTCAACTCCAGCGTTAACTCCTCCCTCCTCCTCCTCCTCCTCCTCTTCGTCTTCTTCTTCTTCTTACTCTTTCTTCTCCCAACTCTGTCCGTTTAAGAACCGACACAGACTCTGTAATTTGACGGTTTGGGATAATTTTGGTTTAGTTTTCACTTGCATTCCTCTTTTCCTTCCCCCTCACTTTTGACTTTAAATCAATTCAGATCCTTTTGGTTGGATTTTCTAACCAGCTGGATTTCGGGGGGCGGGGGGGCAATCACAACATCCTGAGTTGCTTTGGTTGCCACGTCACCATTTATGGAAGAAAAAAAAAAAGTAAAATGCGAGCTACCACTTTCTGTTCTACTGAAACCGCAGTTGAAAATGCTGGGCCGGGCCGGAGCCTCCCAAAATACACGTCTTTTTATATGAAGAGTCGACGTTTCCCAGGGCTTTCAAGTCTCTGAACTACACCCATGATGCACTGCAGCTTCTCCAGTCAGGGCGCTGCTGAACTCCAGCCGTTCTCCGTTCACTCCCCTGTAGATGTGGCGCGCCGAGGAGAGTGTTTCCCCCTGGGGACGAGGCACGAGGGGGAAATTGGTTCCAGATGAAACAGGAAGTGGAGAGCAGAGACAAAGACAGGGTTTGTTCCAGACAGGGACGTGGCCCGAGTGTGGACGCAAATAACGCAGACTCACCCGCGTCCACTGATGCACGCAGACAAACTTTCCTGCCTGAACATCAAAAGAAAGGTTTCTCCCTCTCCCCCCTCCCTCCGTTCCTCCCCCCTCCCTCCCTCCCTGGTCTACCTGCTCTTTACTTTCTGTCCATTTCAACCCCAGACCTTTTCACCCCCCCCAGGGCTCTCCTCCACATCTCTCTGTCCAGACCAGGGGGCTGCAACACCAGAGGACACATTCTTATCACTTTATAACAAACTGAAATTCACAGTGATCACAGTAGTAGTAGTAGTAGTAGTAGTATTTGAAGTTTTACAAAGTACAAAAACAAAGTAGTTTTATTGCTGTTTTTTAACCTGTTGAACAAAGAGAACAAATATGCAAATATCTACAGTACGACCTACTGTATTTACTACTAGTACTACTAATACTAGTACTACTACTACTACTCAGTCAAATATGGTCTCGTAGGTAACCAATCCAAAGAGCCGTAACTGTTCATTTAAAGAAATCAAATTATCATTACAGTATATACTGAGATATTTCAGTTTATCAATATTTTGTTGCACCCTCTCAGATCTACTGCCCTCTTTCAGATCTGTTGCCCCTCTTCAGACTGTTGCCCTCTCAGATCTACTGCCCTCTTTCAGATCTGTTGCCCCCCTCATATCTGTTGCCTCCTTCAGATCTATTGCCCTCTCAGATCTACTGCCCTCCATCCACTGAGTGAACGGTACCAGAAAGTGGTTCCCTCAGCACGGCAGCGTGAGGTCAGGGTCAGAGGTTAACTCTGTGGACACTCCAGAGAGACCGTATCTGTCCTTCTCATCGCTGCATTATTACACGGCCGACACTTGAACCATTGTTGAACAGAGCAGTGAGTGGAGTCAAAACAGTTAAAAAAAAAAAATATTTTTTTATCTCAGTTTTTCTGCAGATTGAATGGAATGATGCAAAAAAAAAATCCAAACAACTCACACACACACAGTGCTCTCCCCCCTCTTCCTCCCCCCTCCTCCTCCCCCCCGCTCCTCCCTGTTTGTCTCCATGCCCAGCGAGGCTCGTGCCTCTCAGTCTCTCTCGGCGGTCGTGTTTTCTCTGCGAGGCATTGCCTGCAGACGAGACAGTGCCAGTGTCATCTCTCTCTGACTGCTGTCAAAATACCGTTGTTAGGCTAACTTTTACCATTGTTCCATCCCCGTGCCTCCTCCCTCCCTCCCTCCCTCCCTCCTCCCTCACCTCGCTCTGCGGCATGGCAAACAATGGCTCCTCTTGCAGGGGCCAAATGACACCAAGGAGCAAAATAATAGTCAGGGGGATAAAAGAGAAGGGGCGAGTGGCAGAAATAATCTAATTAAAGTAATTACTGAGCAATTAACCATAACAGTGGGGGGTTTTCTCTGGGGGAGGGCAGGATGAGGGGCAAGGGTTAGGGCAAAAGTGGGGAGAGAGAGAGGGGTCAGTAAGCTAAAAGGGTTTTAATTAGTAAGATGAATATGAGAGCTTGGTAATCTGCACGACATCAGTGAAGGATTGGATTTTTCTCTGTTTCCTTTGATCTTCAACACTGACCACGTTGTTTGTTTGTGTTCCTCGGTGTTCAATTTCAATAATTATTCCGTTGTAACTTTGAAAAAATCCAGGTGGAGTGATTTATTTCACCTGTTTGAAAGAAGAAAAAAAACAGCCTGCCCACTGACTGTGACTCTCTCTCTCTCTCTCTTTCTCTTTCTCTCTCTTCCCTCCCGTTGTCTCTTGCAGAACAACGAGCCTTTAAACCCTGGTTTCCATGGATACGCACCTCACAGTCAGGTAAGAGATTAAGCCACCGCTCACCGGCCCAGATTACAATGAATCAACTCATAACCGACGTCGGGGAGAACCCTCCGTTCTCTCCAGACGTACTGATATATCCGGGCCACGTGCAGGGCCCACGTCGGCCGCGGCGTTTGGAGGCGGAGGCCGCACGCGTTTGTGTGATGATGATGATGATATCATAGAAACATATCTACACTCCACAGACACGGCTCTGGAATAAAAAAAAACAACAAACCAAACCAACCAGGGCCTTTTGTTGTGTACAGTGTCGTGTGGAGCCCAGTGTTGCTGCTCAGCATCCAGACTCCCTCATCAAGACCGTTATGAAACGCGTGCGCCGCCGCCCGTGGCAGCTTATAAATGATGGCCATTAGAGGAACTGATGAAAACTGGTCGTGACTGAGCCGCTCCCTCAAAGGCTTGACCCAAAAATCTGGAACAAATTATTCACGACCGTCTTAAAACTTAAAGCTCTGCACGCTCCGCATGCAGCAGCGCGGCGTCCCCTCCATCGTTTTTATCTCCTCACACGTCCTCCCCCACTCTCTCTCTCTCATCATGTCTTTCTCTTTGTGTGTGTGTGTGTCTCTGTGCATATTGCTCTCAGTAATGAGGGCCTGGTGTGAGCAGCGTAGAGGCAGGGAAGCCAACTATTTTTCTTATCAGCCTCCGAGCAGCTCGGGCTCATCGTGCCGCTCGTACCAACTCGGGCTCTGCGTGTTTGTGTTGGTAAATGCGTGCGGTGACCTCACCGGGTGACGCGGAGAGAGAGAGAGAGAAACATGTACAACGTTCCTGTGCGTGTGTTTGTACGTGTGCGTGGGTCCCTGGAACATGCAGCTCTCTGCCAGTGCCACAGGAGGGGAGTGTTGGTCTGTGAGTCCACTTGCCCCGTGGTTTTCCTCCTGACTCACAACATGGAAGAAGATCACAGGCTGCATCTCCTCTCATGTACTGCTCTTTTATTCATCTGCAGCCGGACTCCTGCTCCTGCTCTACTCTTTTGGAATACAGCAAAGTAAGCAGGAGCAGGAGGAGGAGCAGGAGGAGGAGCAGGAGAACCTAACATGCACCTTTGAATCCAAAACCATTATCTCAACCCAACGCACCTTTGAATCCAAAACCATTATCTCTCAGTGTTAATACCTTCTAATCCTGTTAGCATACATTGTTTTTTGTCTATACATAAATTGGTGTGGAACCCCAGGGTTCACCTCCTGGGCAAGATCCAATCCTGGTTAGGGTTGGTTGGTACCTTCCAGTGGACTCACCACCCACAGGAAGGTTTAAGGGGGGGGGGTGTTGGTACGGTGCAGTGTGATTTGGGTGGCGGTCATGAAGACTGCTGCCCCCGCAACCTAGTAAAGGATCACATAAATTATTTCTGGTCTTAAACAGTTCAGAAAACTGAGAAAAAAAAAGAACCCAAAGTGAACGCATATAAACATGTAAACAAAAGGTGGAAATGGCTAACTGTAGCACAACAAAAAGCCAAATTAGCTTCTCCGACACGGTCAGAAGGACCACTGTTGTTGTTGTTGTTGTTGTTGTTGTTGTTGTTGTTGTTGTTGTGTAGCGTTGAGCAGGGTTACTGGTGTAAAGCTGCGTTGACCGTATCATCTTACTCTGCGCTGGAGTCTTCGAACCTCCCATGCCTCCCCCACTCCCCCTCCCCCGTTGTCTGCTAAATGCCCAGACCACTTCACTCTGCAGCATTTGTTTTATAAATGATTTAAAAAGTTGTCTCGTTGATGCATTCTGCCCTTGAGCACTTTAGGTAAGAGGCCTGAGTACAGCCGCTAAGCTAGCCTAGCCTAGCCTAGCCTAGCCTGATTGACTTGTTCGTTGCTGCAGGCAGTGCTGTGGGTCGGCTATGACTGCGTTGAATGGAGACGTTGTTACTGAGGCTGCATCCGTACTACGACGGTACTTTAATGTAAACAGTTTCTCAGATTTAATAAATACTTTGTTCTGGAGTTTTAGGAAGAAACGGTTCTAACGGTTCTATAGTTTAAAATATTGACAATTTCATAATGAAGTTTGTAACGAGGAGAGAAGAGTCTAAACAGGAAGTAGGAAATCTACTGTAATAAATCCAACAATTATGTTTCAACATGTCTAAAAAAAAAGTCTGCCAATTTTTTTTTTTTTTGTGATCAACTCTTCCAAACCTTTGTGTTTGGGTGTGAAACACATGCTGAGGCAGTTTTGACATGAGCTGCATGTGTGTTTTTTAAACAAAGACACAGTCTGAGGGTGTGTTCCAATAAAACCTGCGCTGACCTTTGGGGTCAGAGGCGTTGGTGTCCTTGCTGTTTAAATCACATAAGTGATCAGGGCTGACAACACCGTCAAACAAAGACACACGTAGAACAAACACAAACACACAGACACTGTCACCGGGTGGTGTTTCCAACGACACTGGTTTGAAAGTTAGTTCATAAAAACATCGTTTCTTTATCATTTAATTCTGGTCGTGCCGTGGATGGATCTTTATTAAAACCTGGCTGCGTTGAACGGCGGTGTCATTGAAGAGGGAGGCCTTTGTTTGCCGTAGCTGATGATTATGGGATGGATCTGGCCTATTGTGTGTCTGTGTGTCAGCCAGAGTTCAGCCGCAGCCTGACGGCGATCGCAGCATCTGTGTGTACTTTACATGCTTGTGTTTGTGCGCGGCTGCATGTGTTTATCTCTGCGTTCACTTGCTGTGTTTAATCCTTAGATCATCCTCCGTTCATCCTCTCATCCTCCTCACTTACAGCCCTAATCCTGTCATCCCTCGCTCCGTCTTTTTTTTTCACCCGTCCCTTTATCCATTTATCTCCCTATCCTGTTATCGTTCACTCACATCCACTGCCCATCTGCCCCCCCTTCCCTCCCCCTCCCCTCCAATCTGCTCTGGCTTGACTCTCCGCATTTGCCCCTTTTCTCTCTACCACTTCCAGTCATTTATCTTGCCCATGCTGCGTTGCTCCATTCCAGCTAGACTCAGCAGATGTCTAAAAGCTTGGCATCAGGGCTTTTCTTGCGCAGGGTTCTGTCCCTCCCAGAAAAAAATGCAGCGCAAGGAACTGCACTCTCATCTCTGCAAATTAAGCACCTCCTAACAATACAGTGGTGGGAAGTGAGGGACCTGAGCCTGAGCCAGAAAGGAAAAGGCGCAATGCAGCACGACACAGATTCATGTTCGGGTTGAGGGTTAGATACTGGGAGGCTTCCCTCTGAGTGATAAAGGCAGCCGCAGCGGCGAGGTGCCGATGGAGAAGCCTCTCTACGCAGCTAGCTACCACGCCATCCTGTGGCTGGCGTAACCCACCGCTGTTCTCTGGAGCTGACAGGCTGCCATGCAATAAATAACTCATCAAAAAAAAAAAGAAAGCTGCATTGCAGCGGGGGTCGCGCTTGAGTTCTCTACTTTGAGCCAGTGCGTGGTTGGAAGATAGCATCCTATTCTTTACTGCTCCTTTTCTCTCCGGGGGCTTTTGGGGGGGAGAGAGGGAGAGAGAGAGAGAGGGAGCCACAACAGCTCTCTGACTCGATCCCTGCACAGAGTTAGGAGGCTGCATGGAGGGATGGATGCTTTGAATAGGAGGGACTGAGGCAGAGAGGGAGGTAAAGTTTTTAAAAGAGGGGCGGGAACAAGAGGAAGCAGGGAGAGAGCACCGGGACGTGTAACGCCAGCGTGTGAATGACAGACGCAGAGCAATAAGAGGGAGAAAGTGTGAGAAAGAGTGGAGTGGGGGAGACTCTGAATCTGTCGGAGGAGAGAGACAGAAAGGCCCCAGAGGAGGTGGGTGGGTGGGTGGGGGGGGTCAGAGCACAACGCTGGGGAGACGAAGAAAACGAGAGTGACAGCCGGGGAAGGTTTGCGTGCCGCGTGGAAGTGGAAGAAGGGACACACCGGCTCAGAAGAGGAGAGGAGGAGGAGGAGGAGGAAGAAGAAGAGGGAGTGAATGAGGGAGAATTTGAATGTGTGAGACAGACGTGGACCGCAACCCTCTCCAGCTCATGGTCCTAGAGCGCAGGCACAGGAGAGGAGGAACAGGAGGAAAGATTGAGCCACAGAGAGAGGGAGAGAACCGAAGGAACGGAAAAGTGGAGAGCTGGTCGGCAGTTGTTCCTCTAGATCAGACCATGATGGGACTTTACTACCCAGCAATGCTGCCGGTAAGTTCTCCTCTACGGCACATCCTCCTTCTGTTGAGTCCTTCGTGCACGTGCCGTGGTCTGAACCACCACAGGACGTGCATGTGCAGAAGACAAATCTCTGCTTCTTTTCTTTTTTTTAAAAAAAGAAAGAATGTGAGATTTTTGCTCAGTAGAATTCCGTCATGGTCGTCGCCGTGAGTGCTCTGGCCTGTTGTGGTTAGCTGTGTTTTGGCCCAGGTGAGGCCTTTTTCAGAGAGTTGGCAGAGCGTCAGGCTGAAGCAGGGCTTGTCTCTGCAGCTCTGCTGCTTCTTCCACTTTTTTAACTCCTAACGACACAGGACACATTTATTATTTTCTTGGACACGGAGAGTCGTCGCCGGCGGATTTGTTTTGGAACACGCACCGGTTTGTTGTTGTTGCGTCACTGCAGTGGAGTCCAGAGTCCTCATTACGGGGACAGGATAACGAAAACCATCATGTTTAGTATTTGATGGTGTGTGTGTGTGTGTGTGTGTTGGGCTGCTCCTAGCCTACGGTGGGCGTGTCGGTGTGTGTCTTTTGTAGCTAGAAGATGGCCTGAGGACGAGCGATGTTTTCTGGCTCTGTCGTAGCTTGTCCTGCTGCTCTGGTCTTGGTTCCTCTGGGCCCACGGGGGGTGAGGGCGATCGGTGGAAGTGTCAGGCGAGGTAGACGTGGTAGCGAAGCGGCCGCTGTACCGACCGCTGGGGGGTCGACAGGCCTGCATGCCGTCTCGTCCGACTGCAGACAAGTTAATACGCAGGCGTGTTGGAGAGAACACAGAAGTTCTGAGTTCTGGTTCCTGTTGAGGAATTCAACAGTGTCGT